TAGCTTGACGGGACCCAGGTTATTTGAAATCAGAGTTTTCATTCACCTAGACTGGTTACAAACCAAGGCTATAGGTTCTAGTCTGTCCTGCTATTTACCCATAGTTGAGGGGGGGTAGAAAAAATGCATTCATACTTTTCTCAAGAGTATTTGTACATAAGTGAATGTAATGAACCTGATTGGAATTCAAACTTGGCTTTCCAATTTCGCACTCTGAGCCACTATCCATTGTGCCACCCATACATCCAAATTAATCATTTTCCAATGAATGGAAAGCAAATGATACTAGAAATTTGAAGTCTTTACAGTATTTAGTATTGAAGTTATCGATAACATTTTGTCGAGATTCACAAACTCTACGTTTTGTTAAATTTCGCAAGCCAATTGATGAAATATAAAAACTTAAAGGAAGGATATGCAAGAAACAATACTGCATTTTTATTAAATAATTTATTATTGATTTTAATCATTACATTATTTTTGAAATAGTGAGAATGTTTTGTATGTTAAATAATAAAACTTAATTTTTCCAAAAACAATTAAAATTTATTGTACTAAGCTATGCACCCTAGTAAAACCAATTGTACTTCGTACCTTCTTACCCATTTGCACTTCTCCTCAAAATTTGCTTTTGATCGGTCAGTATTGCTATTTTAGAGGGTGTGACGGACAGACTAACAGAAATCATGGAATTATATAGATTATTTATTTATTTTACCTCATTTCTTCCTATTGGGTTCCAGCCACTGCTTATATTGAGATATTGGACATGGTAGTGAATCTCTCAATCAAGAGTTTGGCCATACTTAATCCAAGAGGACCTTGCTCCCTCTGACATGGTGCATGTGAACTAGGAAAGACCATATCGAAAGAATCCTAAAGGCTAAAACCAATTTTACTAAATAACTTTTTTCTATTTTTCAAACTTGAATGCATAGAATTGTTTTTGAAAATCTATTAATTTTTCTTTCTTTTGAATATTTTTTTTTTTTTTTTTATTTCAATGACATGGCACGCTCTATATGATAGTGAGAGTAAATATTTTATCATATCAACAATAAATGTAACTGCAGATCGCAAGAGAGAGTATGTTTTAGATAAATCTCAAAATCCTATCAACAGCATTTTATATCAGCATTTTAGCTATGAGATCGCAAAAAACATATTTTAGTAATTTTGCAATTTTGTTGGTTACATTTTCTGCATAAATTTTTTTTTTTTTTTAAAAGTTTACTCACAAAAAAAAGAATTATTCTAACAAGCCAAAATATGTTTTGGCTTTAGACCATAAAGGGTTGATAAGCTGATCATTTTAGCTTGCAAGAATAATTCTTTTTTGTGAGTAAATATTTTTTTTTCAAATAATGATTTTTCCAGATACAATTCCTACTATTCAACCAATACCTGGTGGGGGAGACAAAATGGATTCTTCTGCATGAGGAATCTAGGATTTTTATCTATACAATTAACTCTAGTGTCATGTGTAAGAAAGAATTCTTATTTTAAAATTATTAAGTCAAAGAAAATTAGTATAATCCATACCATCAAAAAATAATACCAATATTTAATTTTACTTACATTGGTTATATATTCTGCATGAGTAATTAAGGATTTTATTTGTACAATTAATTCTTATTACTATAAATATTATTTTAGTGAGTGTACTTGTTTGAGAAGACAGTCTTGTATATTTACAATGAAATGAATGCCTACCGGCCGAGATTATCAAAAATCTTTTCAGACCCTCACCCAGCCTTCGGCTCCTGATAAAACTTAAAAAAAAAAAAAAAAATTAAGAACAGAGATTTGTTCATTTTCACATATAATAGGGTTTCCTTTGAACTAATTTGAAACAATTTAAAGTATTTTGGTACATCTAGTTGAAGTTGGTCTTTTAAATTTGATGTATCTTTTTTATATACATATAGATTTTTGAGGGGCACCTCGATGTGGTGTAATGGTTAGAAAGCTTGTCTAAAACAATTACAACTGAGTAGTCAGTTTGATCCTCACTGGGTGCCACATCTAAGCTACACTTAGAAAAATCACCATATAAATTTTTGATGTAGGTTTTTTTTTTAGTTTTGCCTAATTTTGTCTACTTTGCTCAATTTTACATTTCATTGAACAGACATGTAATAAATGCAAATTGCTCAATATTGTACACCATAAAAATTATTTATATACATACACACACACACACACATATATATATATATATATATATATATAGACACAGGTGTTTCGAATGTATGTAATGAAGGAGCCCCCAAATTCTATTAGCCCAAGAGCTTCTTAAGTTCTAAATATGGCCTTGACTAAAAGATATTGGTATAGTGAGCTAAAGTAAAAATCACAATCATTTTGTAACAATGTAAAACCTAATTCTTTATCCAATTATTTCTTAATTGATTTATTTTTAATCCCACATTTTCATTACTTCAAATGTTATTATAGTGGACACTTCATATTTAAAATAGACACCCCATTTTCATTTATTTGACAATGTGTATTACATCTACCGGCCTGTGCATTTGACAGTAAAGAAAATGCATTCTTCAGCATTTTTCTTGCCAGGGAACACATTTTATTTACTAAGATTTCTCAAATGCACAGGCCAATAGACATAACACACACTATTTAATAAATAAAAGTGGGGCAACTATTTAAAATACAAAGTACCCATTATAACTAGCCAATTATATAAATTATAACATATATTAACACATGTATTCATATATTTTTGTAATTTTTTGCTGTAATCAAGAAAACAGGTACATAAAATAAGTGAATCCTGATTCAACTTTAAGGTCATCAAGCAACTGACATCTCCATCACACCACTGTTTTACTTGAACAGCAAAAGGTCAAATTAACTGACAATTACTAAGTTATGAAGAGTGTACAGATAATACACTTCTGCCAAGGATCAGTATCTATACAAGAAATAAATCTATCAATTTTAATGGGTATTATGTAAATTTACATGTTTAAAAACTGACATGTGAAAATCTAATAAGAATAAGGACTTAACAAAATAGGCTTCAATGAATAAACTAACATCAAATCAAATATATATTTTTTCTGCTGGGCAATGACAAGTGAATTTGTTCATTCTTCTATGTGCCATGATAGACAGATTATCAGCTCCCTTTTTTTATAATGTAGATTCTTCTATGTGACCTGTCCCTTTAGGACATGGGTGATCATGGGTCTCCAAAATTTCCTATCTCTTGTGGCTCCTTAGCAGTTTTTTTTTCTATTTTTACAAAAGCTCCTTCCTCCCATTCACACAAGCTTGAAAGATAGGTGGCTCACTGCCTTCCCCTATCTCTTACTTTCAATATGCCATAAACCCCCCTTCCTCATCATGTGCCCACGGAATTTCAGCTGTGTTCTCAATTCTGAGCATGTGGTGTTCTTGTTGCCGTATGTGACTTCCTCATTGCTTACTTGTTCTGTCCATGGAATTCTCGGTATCTTTCTGTTGCCGTTAGTTTTCTCCTCATCCATGGGGGGGGGGTTGTTCAACACTGACATATAAAGAGGATTGATATCACATAACAATTCAGCACTCTTTTCTTTATTTCTAAAGAAAATTATTCTTTTTATTATTTTCTAATTAAATTATTCTGTTTCTCAGCACTTTGCTTAGATTTTGGAATGTGTCATTTGCTAGTTCAAAGTATGTTTGAATTTCGGTGTGGCATTTTCTTTCCTCTGTTAAAACACTTTCCTAATATTTAATATTCTTTACTCGCTTGATGTTGACATTTCCAATTTGTAACTCACATCTTGGGCTTTTTCTCTTGCTGATGACCATACTCTCAATATTCTTGCAGTTGATAGTCCTTTTTTCTCACTTTCTTATACTATCCTATCTAGGAGATCCTGGAGTTTTCTGTGTCAGCTATCAATACAGTGTTATGTGTGTATCTTATATTGTTATGGTTGCATCCATCAATAATAAATCTTAGTAGGATCTCCAGCTCCCTTATAAGAGCCTCATTGTAGAGGTTGAATAAATCTCGCAAGAAGACACATCCTTCTCTTATGTTCCTTTCTATTTTTGGATAGCTACCCAATTTATTTTCTATCCATATACAGGCAGTCAGCTCCAAGAATAAGTTCTGAATTATTCTAACATCTTTTCCAAATACACTTTCTTTTTTTTTTTAAAAATTGATATCATCCCATACAAGTCAGTAAAGCCAATAAGACACAGTGTTACAGACTGTGGAAGAATTAGCAACAGAAACAGGAAGAGAAAAGAGTAATCAGGAGGACAGTAGATAGTGATTGACATTGCATTTAAATTTTTGCAGAATAAAGTTGGTTGGAAAGCATGGAGCCAAAAGGGAGTTCCACAAGCGGGAAAAGAAACTGTTAGCATAGAACTTATGGCTACATATACATCCAGCTCAACTGTAAAGTGATGAGGTCTCAACGTAGGTACCATATCTGAATAATTACCATGAAAGTATTTAAGGGACAGAGAGGCAACATCTGAAGCCAAGCCGCCAGACCAGGACCAGTAATATTGCAGATTCTTCTTTGGATCTTATCAAGGAGCTCAAGCTAAATAGCGGGGGCACTAGACCATATGTGGCAACAAGCATGGGCAAATGGTAGACTTCTAGATATGTAAGATAGTCTGGAGAAAAAAATTGTCTCATATGACACAGAGAACCAACTTTCTTAGCAGCTGACCTAGCAATAGATTCAATATAGTCTTTCCACTTCATGTCAGTTGAGAACATTAGCCCAAGAAGGCACAATGAAACAGTTTTACTAGCAGTTCAAATAGATCCTTGTGGCATACTTTGTGAAATGCTATGAAATAAAACAACAAATGATGTTGAATTCAACTGGTTTATTGAGTCAGTAAGAAGTGCCTTTGATTTCAAACTTATACCATTGACCAACATGGTACCTAAGCCTGAATATAACATACATTACTTATACAGGATATGAGAACGAAGAATTATGGAATCAAGATGTTTAGGATGCATTCGCAAGATGGTCTTTGACTTCTGAGGGCTTCAATCGCCGGAACCCTTGAGCATTGCAAATACCAATCTCTATGTTGCTTTCTGTCATCTGACCCTCAAAACTCTCCTTCAGGGTTAAGATAGCAATATGGACTGCATCTTCTATTTCAGGATTCTCGTTATATCTAAGAATAGAAAACAAAGTATTATTAAAACATTTTGTTTTTGTTTTTATCTTGACTACAATTTACTGGGCCCACAGTCCACAGGAGGAAGACAATGACATGAATAAAACAGTTGACTAAATGGAATTGGTAGACAGTAAACACATGTACAGTAAGGCAGGTTGATTTTTTCACCCCACCTCCTTTTTTTTTTTAAAAAGAAAATCAACATTGGACTCAGTGTGAAAGCTGGGGGTTTGATGTAATAAGTACTGACACCAAAAATTAGATTCAGAGCTTTTACCAGTTTTTGAGCATTCAGGTTTAAAATTGTTTGAAAAATGTACAAAAATACCTAATTTCCACAGGTTTTTACTTAAAAACTGACTTCAAAATTTTACTATTTCTAAATAATAAATTCTAATAAATCCAAATAAAGTTGATATATTTTGTATTAGATACACTGAATGGAAAATATATTCAAACCAGAAATGTTATTATGAATCACCACAAAACACATCAAATACAGTAAAGAAAATCACATAAGTAAAAACTGTAAAAAAAAAAAAATTATACAATTACAAAAAAGGTTACTCAATGAATAAGATTTGTTAGATCATAATTAATAAAAAACAAAAAATAGATAAAACTGTATATAACACCATAATACTGCTGAACAGAAATTATAAGACAAAATGTTTTAAATTTGCATTGTTCATTAAAAAATCACGCTAAAACTACTGCATTGTGTAACATATTACATCATAATACAGAGAAACTGTTGAGTATCATTTCCTTTTGAAGTAAATGACGGTCTTATTTGATGGCAAAATGATTTAGTAATAATGTGCTTGTGCCATACAGCTTGTCCAGATACAATTTGTAAAGCTTCAGGAAATTATAAAATTTATAAAGCTGTGCTATAAGGCTTTCACTGATCACCAGAATGAAATTGCAATGCTACAATTTTGAACCTAAACTTAATCTTTAAACTAGTTTCTTCAAAGAAATGGTAATGATTTTGAAAAAAATATTTTGTGTCATTATTTATCAGATTGAACACCAACTTTCAAAGTGCAATACTATGGTTCCAAAATTGACCTGCCCTAATGTATAGCACTAAAAATTATGGTGGCACTGAATGAATTCAAAAGAAAACCTAAACATAACTAATAATTTAAATAAGATAAATTTGTTTATTATTGTACAAGACCTGCCTTTAATAAGTAATTATATTCAACCTAATTACAATGTAGATAAAATACTAACAATAGTTCAATTATAATTATCCAATTGTTCAATGAGGCCTGAGGTTTACTCGTCAAAATATTGTGATGAGATTGCATCACTATTTTAGGTAATTAGGCTTTCTCCATTTAGTCAACTGTTTCATCCCAGTTATTGTCTCCTCAGGATCATGTGCCTGGTAGATGAGTAGTCAACTCAATTTTTCAAAATTAATTGAGGATTGTGGGTTAAATAGATACCAAGAAAAAGAGACTATATTCAAGCATATCAATTTTATTATATTAATATCTATTAGAAATAAACGTATGTGGAGCGCTCCAAAAGTAATGCCTCCTATTTGTTTCCATGAAAACTACAATAGATACAAAGTTAAAAGTTAAACCCTTGGATAGAGCAAGCATTCAGCCACAAAACACTGTTTTTCAACAATCACAAACACTGGCTATGCATTTTCATCAGCAATGAAAAAGAAGCTGGGTGCTCACATTCATTATTTGGTCACTATAAATGTTCAGCAAGCATCAATGAATGCCAATAGGTACAATTTTTGTCCACATCAAGGATTTCACTAGTACACTTCTTTATACACACTTTCATGCCAAATATTATTTTACTTGACTGTCACTCATATTAAAATAGGAGGCATTATTTTCAGAGCACCTCTCTTATAAATTGTCAAAGTCACATTTTTCTGTTGACAAAATTATTCTTAATTTTTTTTTTTTTTTTTAAATTAGAACCGATAATAAAATAACTTTTAAAAAAAGTCAAATTATTTATTAGTCACTCATGATATAACAAAGCCAGAGAAAATTTTGTATGTGCTTGACAAGTTGAAAAGTTTCCAACTTTTTAAAACACATTGTTGAATCAAATTGTAATGCAGAAAAAATCCTACAGAATTTGGATATAGCTTCAATTATAAATGAAGTGTATTTTGAATTGGATGCAGCAGTTAAATAAAAAAGGTACAAAAGAAATACAAAGCTATTACATGTATTATGTGTATAAAAAAGTTTCCAGAAAAAAAAAAAAAATTGTTTTCAAAAGTGACAGCTGGGAACTTCTTGCACACACCTAACATATTTTTCAAATATTCCAGATTTTGTATCTTTTTGTTTTTTTGGGGAAATGTTAACAAAAAAATCCATCTGTTTTAAAAAGTATAAAATCAATCATACATTTTTAAAAATTAGGAATGTAGATATTTAACAATCATGAAGACTTTGGTCATAATGGCTAAATTTGGCAACACTCCATTACAGAATCCATTACGGTGAAGAGAACAATATATTCAGAGAAATTTGATTTCTCATAAATCCAAACAGGATTTAAGTTAACCAAAGAACTAAATCTATTTAACAAATTTTAAATAGCAAACACCTGTAGCTGAATAATGAATCATGTGACATGTAAAAGAGTAACAAATTAGTTATTGCTAAGCAAACTAAGCAAAACTGCTTCTGTTAATGTTTCATTAATATATAAAAAAATTGAATATTTTCAGTTTTCAATTTAAATAGTGAATTTAAAAGTCTTACCTTTTTTCTAAGAATGTTTTTCCATTAACATAGTTCTTACCCATTGCAGTAGCCTTCCAAGCAAAGTATGCACCCTGATGAAAGAAAGAAAAAATAAATATTTGATAAGAAAATATTTTCAAGATCATATTAAAATTTCCAGTTTTATAATCAACATTTTAATGTAATGACATTCAAATTTATATTAAAATATAACTGTCAATAAAAATGCTACGAGTAAATGTTCTGGGGAAAGAGAAATATATTGAACATCTTCGTTTCTAGTAAATTGTCTTTTTGAAATATTACAAAACATTTTATCAACTTTTATGAGATAATATATTTAATAACCAACAACATCAGAAAAATTTATTTTGGCTATGACAAAACATATGCTGATACTGGATAATTGTTATTATGATTTCATTTTTGTTTGTTACACAGCAAAAATAGCACATCATAGCAAGATTTTGGTTAGGGTAATACTGTTGAAAATTGGAGAAATGCTAAAAGATTCAAGTCATGTTTGAGAGAACCTGCTGCAGAGCAATGGTTAGCAAACAAATCTCACAAGTTATTGAATGTAAGTCTGACTGGGTGCTCTACTGTTACTATTGTGGCTTTATGTCAGACTAACCTAAGTTTAGTATTCAAAGTGATTTTCACTGGACTACTTTTTAATACAATGGTTAACAAAAAAAAAAGAAAAAAAAAACAAAACATCATCCCTAAAATAATCATAATTTTATTTTCGAAGAATAAGAAGTCTTTATTGTGATTTTCATATATAAAAAACAAAAAACAACACAACAAAACAAAAAATATTACTTCAACAACTAGCCAACAAATACTGTGGAAAGTAGGGCTATGGAGTCAGACCACAAAACCCTCAACTCTTATTCTGACTCCTCTACTTTTGGCACATCCGACTCTGATTTATCTAATTAAGTGATTATGGCCTACATATCTCAAAGCCTATGCATATGCTCCCGAGTTTATATCAAAAGAATAAAAAGATATTGTGGCTTTTATATCATTCTTCAATATTTTCTAACAGTTTTAGAGACAAAATCTTTGAAAGGATATAGAAGAAATAATAATAAAAATGCTATAATGTAAAACTTTTTACATATACATACACATATATATATATATATATATATATATATATATATATATATATATATATATTGCAAATGAGAAATACAGAACAAAAATTAAACTACTTTACTTTTACAGGATGTAAAAGACATAACAAAAATAAAAATTCTATAATGTTACATGAAGTCTAAATTCAACTGGAGTCTGAGTCAGTATAGTTTTACTGACTCCATCTCCAGTGACCCCTTAATTGCTTCAGACTGACTTGATAGGCCTGGTAAAAAGGATCATTATAACATTGTTATTTTTAGAAGACATATTCATCACTAATCTTATATTGACGAATTCAATAATTTTTTTGGAGGAAACTTCTGAGAAATGTCTATGTAAGTTACAACAGGAAAAAAAAAAAAAAAAAAAAAATAAAACAAACTTACAGATGGATCACATTGATATAAAAATGGTTTTTGTTCATCTTCATCCCAACCTGCTATAAGCAAGGAAACACCAAATGGACGAACACCTCTGAAATAATAAATATGTAATTCTGAATATAAAATAAAACCGTAAATTATGTCGGTAATAAAAACAATTTTTCAGACTTGTCATCTTTAGGGATTAAATATTATCCAGAAACATTTTGTTTTTTCATGATTAAAATATTTTAAAATTGCCTGTCTACTTTTGTTAACATGTCATGGTAATAAAACAGTCTCTGCTTGTTAATAAAAAATAAAAATGGATACAAGGATAATTGTTTGCAATTTAAAAACTATTGGCAATAAAAGTAAGATAGGAAAAGAGGAAGCAAATATGCCACAGAAACAGTTGTTTCAAAGACAAATCAACACTTCATAACTTCAATAGACATAGAACAAAATAATCATAAATTCTTAATAAACAGGCCTTTTAAGAAAATTTGCTGAGAAGGCAAAACATTAGTGTTTGTTAGGTAGGCCAATAATATTTAGTCTTGGGAGTACCACCCTCATTCCCTTTGTATTCCATTGGCAAGATATAAGTTCCACTCAAGCAGCTTCTTCCTATGAACCACTGCTTTGTGGAACTGACACTCAAGAGGATATTTCTCTGATCACTACAATCTTAACCTGTTCAAGTCTAGAGTCAATCATTATCATCCCCTCAAATTGTGTCTCTTACTCTGTAACCCTCTACCTTGAGTGGTTCTTGGGCCTTGTACAGGGTGAAAAAAAAAGTGTAGAAATATTAACTTAAAGTAAATTTTCATTAACTTCTGTTATTGTAGTTGAGAGTTCTCCTGTTATTCAGCTTTAGAATGAAGGGAAAACAAAAGGTTAAAGGTTTTCTTATTTGGTAGTAGTTAGTAACAAGGGAAAAAAAAAAAAAAAACTTTTTTTTTTTAAACTGTGTTTATCCTTACAAGTTGGGAAGAAACACCTAATTAATATATGATGATGCTTACTGTCCACTTCATAATCAAAGCCATGTAATCTTGACAACAGTTACATGAGCAGATTACAGCCATTTCCTTCATCTGACAATGTATCATTGAAATGTCTTTGATCATTACACTCTAGCCCTTTTTGACCAAGCCACATTGAATCCCTGTCTATTCATATCAGGTGAATAATGTTTAATGTCAAAATATTTTAAGTTACAAATATGTACAAGTATTTATGAAAAAACATTGAGAAGAAAGCAATCTATACATAATGACTCTTAAAAAAATAAGACTGCATTAAAATGAGTCTTTACCAACATTTAGCTTTTTTAGCCAATTTGGTCAGATGTCTGGTGGATTTTGTCTAGAGAGAAGAAAATATGATAGATATATTTTGCTTGTTTAATATTGCAAATTTCACATGGAAACTTTGATTAACATTAAGTCTATTGGTGACAAACTGCATTACTGTTGAAGGAAATCTATTATGAAACCTTTGCTTCTTCAAGGGAATTTACTGAATAACCTTAAAATAGTAAAAAACAAAAATTGTTTAATTACAATTCAAAATATTTTTAGTTGATCTGAATGTATATGATTTTTGTGATGTGTTGCTGCATTCTGTTTATTCATTTGCAGATAGTAAATTGGTGTTTTGCATTGGTCTTAATTTCATGTGGATAATTATAGCAATTTTATTTGCCCTCCTTGGGATTGATAAGAGAAAAAGGACGAGGAAAAAAAACAAAAAAAAATACACACAGTGGAAAGTTATGACTTTAGTATGAATGGAGAAGTAAAAAAAATAAATAAAAGTAGATAAATGATTTAAATAAATGAAAGAATAAATGTTACTTACCCAGACTGTGTAAATTCTTGCATAACATTGGCAACTCTTTGTACTAATTGGGCAGTAGGAATTTGTTCCTGGTATGTCAAGTAGTATTGCTGAGCAAGTTTACGAGCACGACGTACTAAAACTCTAAAAAATGAAGAGAAAAATTCACCATATTAGTGTAATAAAAAAAAAAAAAAGATTTGCCAAAAAAAAATGATTGAAGTAATTTTTTATTTAATTCAGTTCCATTTCTATGAATACTAACATAATAAATTTGCTGTATGTATTTTTAGATTTTGAAAAAATAAGGAATAGAAAAAGAAAAGCACCTGTTAAAGAACCTATACAGTGTACTTCAATTATGATATTGTACTTTGCTGCATAAAGGCAGGTGCAAGGTAGATCCCCAACTGGGTTGGAGATCTGTGATTCATCCATTGTCAGTGGTGACCTCAAAAGGTGAACACCTGTCGGACTAGCTGCACGTGATATGTGTGTGTGCATGAGAAAAACTGCTAGATGGATATATAAACATCATTTGAGCAGTCTCTCAACAGATATTGCAGGATGATAATGCATGGTCCACATATTAGACAAGGAGCCTTCATCGGGTCACACTACAGACTGGCCAAGAGTAACTGACAAAGTATTGAGGTGAAATGTTAAGTTAAATAAGAAAGATCCAAGTCTTGTTATTCACTGGTCCACCTCTGTTATTACTAAAGCTAGCACTACCATTCCATTACAACAGTTCATATCCTCAATCCAGACATTTTTATCACTTTGAAAGTTAAAACAAAAGCTTTTTACAATGCTAGCATAAAACAAAACAAAAATGAGCATTATTTGCTAATATGAATAAAATTATTTAACTATTATAAAGAGTTTCATATGCTAACAGTTAACTCCATAGATTTAATATTGTGAAATTGATCTTAATAATTATAAAATGAATAATGAAATACTATTGTGAACACAATTTGATAATACAAAAATTCTTTCAACATGGAAAAAGAAAAAAGACTTTTTTTTTTTAACACCAACCTGTAATCTGGACCCATTCCACTATAAACCATGCCAATATTCTTTGTAATGCTCTCAACTTTGTGGATGCTATGTTCTTCATAAAGAATAGATTTCTGCTTTTTTTCAGTGGCTAACACCACACCATTAGAAGCTAACAAAAATAAAAATGATATTAAATACAAATAGAAATTTAAATCTCTTTATTAAATTCATTAGTAGTTTCCTTCTTTCCTGAAGATTAAGTTTTAAAATGTAAGTATCCACTTTTTTTCAGTAAACTCTGATACATGTAACTGATAAACAAACAAAAATTCTTTTACAACAGAGATATAGTATGATCATAAGAAATTCTATTTTTATGCAATATTTTAATATCTGACAAAACAAGAGATTAAGAAGTAGAAAACTAATTTAGTAAGGGTTTATTATAATAAGTAAACAAACAACATTTAAATTACAATGAGAATACATAATTTGCACAGTCCAACAGTTAAGGTGATTAAAGGATTACATTTATACAAATTAGCTGCATTAGTAAAAAAAGAAAGTGTAACATTTCATCGTTATTTTTCATTTATAAAATTTTCTTTCATAAGCTTTGGTGATAGAGGTTGCAATTTTAATTTGATCAAAATTTTTGTGGTATGTGATATATGACATATACTGGTCTTAGGAATAAAGTGTTTATCTGACTTTCACCACATTTATTTTAATATTTATTTATTTTTTTTTTTTTTAATATATATATATATATATATATATATATATATATATAAAATTTTCATTGTCTGACAAAAAAAAAAAAAGTACAATTTCTGGGCTTTAACTGATTTCCACATTAAATAAACCTGTTAAACGAACCAACTTGTCAATCTTTCATTGTAAAAAAGCAACATTCAAATTAACGACTAACTTATCAATGAGGCATTTAAAAGAAAAAAAAAAAAAAGAGAACTGACAGTCAGATGTAAAAGAAAGTTATCTCCCTTTAAAATTACTATTGATTAAAGAAACAATTTGATAAAGTGACGATTAAATTTAACACTTTCAGTGAAGCCAGTTTCGATTTTCATGTGTCCTTGTGGAATGAGTGAATTTTTGGGACTTATAAACCTATTGTCTCAGTAACCATTTTTTTTACCAGAGCTTATATTACAATTTTTTCCTTATTGTTGTTTTTCTCTAGCTCTCTGTATTACTGGTTCCTGTGGACTAAATAAAGGGTTTGGTTTGAAATTCCAACATATATCACCTGAAGAAGGCTGGAGTGTACAAGAGCCAAAATGTTGTGAATATGACAATAAAGATGAGGCCAACAGTACAAACAATGTAAAGAGTGTAAATAGTTACAATACCTCATCTCAGAAATATAAACAGATGTAGAAACATTTCTGTTCCTGAAAGACATCAGTCAATGTTTGGTTTTCAGATTATCACTACGAGTGCATTTGTCAGCATTATTAATAGAAAGAGCTGCTGCTGCTGTACTAAAGATCTTCTATAATACAGAGTATAATTCTGAACTCTTTCAAGCCTCTTCCGCAGTTTGTTTTGTTCTCAAACAACTTTTTACAGATGCTATCAGATCATTTATAAAAGCATCAGGTATAACCTCTTTGCAGCACTGACAGCCCTGTAATTACAGTCTCCACTCAGACTACAGATATTCATCTAATCTTTTTTTATTATTAACAGGCGCTTAATAAACATTTTTTATAAATCTCATTTTTAAGTGTTGTTCTGCAAAGTTCATACATCATCATCATAAGTTTCCCAATCAGAAATATACTTCTTCATGGAAGAAGCAATGTAGTTAATGAATATATTCATCTAATTACTGCTCCAGAGCTCAAAAAAAATTGTTGAATGTAGTAAATCAATACTTCCACTTTACCAGCAAAACTAAAATTTAGGTTGGTTTCAAACATCTCCCATTGTAGGAACATATCCATGGTATGGTTCAGCTGTTCAAAGAACATGCATTTATGTCTTAAGTTTTATTCAACAAAGAATAGGGTAATATAGAGGATAGCAATAAAATGAGGTGCTAAAAAGTTTTTGACTGAACCAGAAGCTAAAAAAAAAATCTAATCTGTTGTTTGGTCAGATTTTGCGAAATGCATCAGGCTGTGAACTTTTCTGCTCATTATATGTAGGCTTTCAGTAAGAAAGTTTACCTACTTTACACAAGAAGGTAGCCAAGTATATTTGCTGATATCACCTGACAAGTGGTTGCTGGGGATCCATCTATGAAAATCTGAAAACCAGAATGGTGGATTCCATACAGGTACCATATACACCAGCTGGATGTTTGTGTGCCATCAAGACAGGACATCCAATGTAGACCTGTTTAACAGGTGTACTATTGGAGGAATTGAGACTTTCCTTATACAGTCTCAGTTGCGGTGGACTGGTCATGCCTTGATAATGTCTGATGACGGATACCCTAGATCCTAATGTACAGCCAGTTAGATCAGGGATACAGGAATGTAGAACGCCCATGGCTAAGATACAAAGACAAGCTGAAGAGCAACTTGTCAGCTATCAATATACCTCATAACAATCTCAAGCACTTAGCCTTAGAGCAGGTAGAATGGAGATCAACATGTTTTAGTGGATTCAACAGTTTTCAGTCTGCTAGTGTGAATTGTCTTCAAGAAGCAAGAGCAAGATCTAAAAGGTCAGCTAATCTAACAGTGACCTCATCCCACAAAATTCATAACTGAATCAATTGGTTAAGTTGTCAGATCCTCATGCATCAAAACTGATGGGAGAGTCCATTTATATATATATATATATATATATATATATATATATATATATATATATATATATATATACACACACACACACACATAGAGAGAGAGAGAGAGATTAAAAAATATTTCTAAAGAATTGATGAATTTTTTTTTTTTTAATTCTACACATTTTTATTACTTTAAAGATTTTTTTTTAATGGATACCCATATTTGAGTAAACATTCTGTTGAAAATAAAACAGACCATCTACCCACATACAAGTATCCACCAAAAATAATGTTTGAAGTAATAAATAAATATATATGCCTTGTCACCTATGATACTATTAATTTTGCCCTGAATAACAAGTAATGTCATTACAATATGGAAGATTACTTAAATAATAAACAAAATTACCACAATAGCATTTTTTAAATTAAAGTTTTAAACAATTCTCCTAAACTAACCTTTTATCCCAACGGAAGGAGCTCCAGCGGCCACAGCTGCCAATGCATATTCAATCTGGACCAACTTTCCAGATGGACTTTAAGAAAAAAAAAATAAAATAAAAAAATATATTTAAAAAAAAATAAAATAAAAACTGTCAATTTTAAACTTTTAAATATATCATAAAATTCATGAAATTATACAATAATTTCAGTAAGTGTTATGAAATTAATACAAAACAAGAAAAATTTTAACTGCAATTTTTTTTTTTTTTACATTTAATGTTATATGAACAAGAGAAAGAAAAAAATGGTATTAGCAACAACATTTGTGTAATTTCTATCTGAATTTCTGGGATGAGTTATTACTTATACTATATTTAGGACAATAGCCTAGAGGATTAAAGCATTGATTCATGAATTTTCGACATAGTAATTGTGAGATCAATACCTGGGTCAGGAAGTGTGGACTTGGACTTGGTGGAAACAAGGTGAGCAATAACTGAGCAACACTAAAAATAAGAACTAGACAAGATATTCCTAGACATGGGCAGTGGAACAAGAACAGTCTAAGCTCATAGATTAAATGACGTATTTGGCACAGGAGAGGGTGTATTCAACAAAAAATTGAAAATTGCTTTTTTCACTGCAAATTATTCATTATATCATATCCAAATAGTTTACAAAAAAAAAAAAAAAAATAGAGCCGATTACACAATATTTCAAGCTCAATGTTTGTAACCATGGAATGAGATGAGGCAACATAAACTGTAGATTTCTGCAGAATATCATTACATTATTGTTACATAATTATAGTGAAATCATTAAAGTTTTTTGTCAAAAGCATTTTATTTTTGGTCGTATATTAATTTAAAATATCCCTTTTTACAGGCTTTATTTTTTAAATGGAATAAGATCATTCTAAATTTCAGAATTTCACTATTGCCCATCAAAATGACTGGAAGAAAGCAATCTAAAAGTAACAATGGAAAAGTGAGGTAACAAAGCATAAACAAAATAGCTCCAGTTTGTTCAACATATTTATATTATTTTTATTTATTCATTATCTAACTAAATACATAATTGTCAACTGTGTTTCCATAAAACTTGATATTTCCTGTAATAAATATTATTATTTTACTTAAGTGTAGTTCTACATTTACAATTCCTTACAGCTAACCATGAAAAGAAATGTTGATCAAAACTGCCTAAAACCTGTAAACTCACATTACCACAAAGTTTTCAAATGTTGAATACACCTCTGCTCTGCAAAATACATCGAATAAAGGGTTCAGTTTGGAATTCCCTGCATGTTACCTGGATAGATAATCACCTGGTGAAGGCTGGAGAGCACAACAGCCAGAATGTCGTGATAACAACAATAAAGATAAGGACAATAGCCGAAATATAAATAACATTTGAGTAGACATCTGAAATGTTAATAAAGTAATTTTTTTTATTCAGAATTACACAAGTTTTATTCATTTATTTTTTTTATTTAACAACTGTTATATTCTAACTCTACTAAATAAAGAGAGTCTGGAAAGACACTTTTCATCTTAATCTCTTGATAGCTTAAAAAAGAAAATTATGCAAATCAAAATATTTAGAATTCTTCCTGCTTTTACAGTTTTTACATACACCAAGTTTTCATTGCTAAGTATTCAAATGAGAGACTTGGACATATCTCATTGATTAACACAAGTTACTAAATCAGCTTCTATCTTAGAGAATTTTTTTTTAAATCGGTATCACCCTATGCAAGGAAATAAAACCCCTAAGGCACAAGGAGTTAAAGGGTATGGAAGAATTAGAAACAGAAACATTAATAATGAATGGGAAGAGGAAAGAGCAATCAGTAAGACTGAAGGTAGCAACTGACATTGCATTTAAATTTTTGCAGATTAAAGTTGGCTGGAAAGCATGGAACCAGGGAGTTCTACAAGCAAGTGCAAGAAAAGAAACTGTTAGCATGAACTTACGGCTACATCTACCCAGCTCGACTGTAAATTGATGAGATCTTGATGCCAGTCTAGTATTGTGCTTAAATTAAAAAAGTCTAGGCACCATAGTGAAGAGCTCATCTGAACAATTACCATGAAAGTATTTATAGAAAAGGCACATATAGACAACTATGATGATGGGAAAGTGACTGATGCTGAGCCGCCAAATCAGGACCAATAATATTGCTGATTCTTTTTTAGACTTTATCAAGGAGCACAAGGTAGATAGCAGGGGCACTGGACCATATGTAATAACTGAAATAGACAGGATCATGCCATTAACTTGTCCCTACCCCAATGATTATTATGTTTCCAGGGGAAAATACAAAAAAAATCTTTAGCATTAATGAATCTTTACAGAAGTTAAAGCAAGTCAAAGTACATTTTTAGAATAAACCACAAGAAACAACTGTAACCATTCTGACAAGCTTTCTTATTTGGTACATCAACTTCACACATTTAATAGCAGTAGTAGATTAGCAGCTAGGTTTCACTGTTGCTAGTTGTAACTGAGTTCTATGCTGATAGTTTCTTCTTTGACACTTCTCACTTGTGGAACACTCTTCCAGCTTATTGTTTTCCTGTCAACTACATTCCTCAAAAATTTAAATGCAATGTCAATTATCATCATCTGTCTCCTTGAATCTTGTTCTTTTATTGCCTTGTTTAGGGTGAAGTGATACAAAAAAAAATTCCTAAATTTACTTCTAATGGGTATTAATCACGGTCATTCATTTGTTAAAAAAAAAACGAAAAAAACTTAAATTCATACGAATCAAAATTCAAAACTGATTGGAAAGCTAAAACAATACACACAATATTTATTCATTTATCATAGGAGGAGGGAGGGGGTAAAACCGGTGAATAAGCAAGCATGTATTATTTGATCACATCAAAACAAGCCAACTATTCTAATTTTAATTTGATGGTTATTTTTGCTAAAAAAAAAAAAAAAAAAAATTAAATGATTTTAAAGTTTGCTACATGTTATCGGTTTAGATTTTTTAAACTAAAAAACTTATTAATTGATTTCAAATATCTGAATCGACTGATTCCTAGTTGTAAAATATTTATTTCGTTTGTTAAAAGGAAATTATATTCTCAATCTCAACCTACTGTTAATTTAGGTTTCCTGTTATTTTTAGTTTAATAATTAATTATAAATTAGTAACTCACCAGCACGGTGCTAATTCCAACCAAACCAACGTAAATTTATTTATTAATGAGGAGGCTAAAAAACATTACCTAACTCTTTTAACACTAAATTTATTAAAATTGAAATTAAATAATAATCTTTAAAGGGTAAGTTTAATAATTTGTTAAAAAAAGTCAAAGTGAAAAGAAACACAAAAAATAGGCAATTTTTTTCATTAATTTTTATAGTTTGTATATTGTCTATTTTTAAGTAAGTGATTGTTTTTCATATTTTTAGAAATACAGATATTTAAATATTCGAAGGAATTTTAGAGCCAAAAAAAAAAAAAAAAATAAAGGAACTTTTAGATAGAATGAAGCCGGGCGCTAAACTTCGGCATAAACGGATGAGGAATGAGAATGCAAAAAAATCAACCCGCAAACAAAGAGATTCTAAATAGCATTCAGCAATAACACTTGCAAGTATTTTTCAACATACATGCGAAATAAACAATAAATTTTATAACCACTTTAATTTTACAAATTAAAGTCCTGCGCAAAAATGTAAAAAAACATAATAAATTACCTGAATGTTGTCAATGAGAAACTATATCGTTCAGACATGGTGAAACGAAGTAGATGAAATACTTATTTCGAGCCATACTTTCGCTCTTTGCTGCAAATACTTATAAAAGATTTTCTTACAGAATAATATTAATTTAATTGAGTAAAATATAAAATTTTTTGCCTGAATGCTAAATAAATTTTACTTATCATTTTAAACAAACTTTAAAAATCAGTTGTTCCTAGCTCTGTAGTGAATTTCAGCATGGCCAACATGTTAAGAAGGATTATTGTGGATTTCGAGCAAACAATACTTCGATGGACGAAGTTATTTACAGAACCAAGTGAGTATGACAGTTTATTTGCTAACGTATATTTATTGTGTTTTTGTTTGTTATTTTTTACAATAGATGCACTTTAGAATATGTTTTAGTTTTTTTTATCTAAATGCATAAAAGTGTTGTCTCCTTGACATTGTGAGTTACAGTATTTGTCTTACAAGCTTAGTTGTGATGATAAATTGGTCAGAGAAAATAAAGATAATTTATAAGTTTATTTATTTATATTTTAATAGAAACGTAAAATTACTTTAAAAAATTTTGATTTTTTTTTTTTTTTAGGTTTCTGTTAGGTGGCACTTTTCATAATTTTTCAGTTTATGATGTTAGTTATGTTGTGCAAATATGTCTTTTTGAGTGGGGCACAATAGGTCATGTTTGCCTTTTCTTCGTAATTTCTATTTTTAATTATCACACAAGGGCGCTAAATTTTCTTTTCTTTTACACAGTTTTTTTTTTTGTAACTACGAATGAGTCGAAATTTTATTTCATGTTTTATATTTCTTAAACCTGAAAAGAAAATACTCTTAAAAAACTAGAAATATTAATTACAAAATGAAAAATAAATAAAATTCACACATGTTGTGACAAAAAAAAGTTGCATATATTGGAAGGAAAATCGCTCGTGTTTTTAAGCTAAATCTATTTTTCTCTCTGAATCTCTGGGATGAGGAGTTGTTATTTTTTAATTTTACAGTACAGTGTGTATATTCGGACCAGTCATCATTTTTATTTTTTTGTTGTTATCACAACGTTTCGGTCGTTGTGCTCTCCAGCCTTCCTTAGGTATCGATGTGGGTAACCTACGGGAAATTCTGAACTGAACCCTTTTTTTTTATCTAATCTATCGTGTGGACTGTTCTCCTACCACTGTTCATGTCTAGGGATATCTCGTCTACTTCTAGTGTGGATTAAACTTTAAAGCATTGGTTCGTGTAATTGGTGACATAGTAACTGTGAGTTAAGTCCTTGTCCAGACAGTGTGTACTAAATGTACTTTGACTCAGTGGAAACTGGCAAGCAATAACTGAGTTTGAGTAGTACTAAAAAATAAGATCCGATATCCCTGAAGATGGGTAGTGGAACGAGAACAGTCTACCACTGTGGATTAAAAATAAAATGATTCAGTTCAGAATTCCCTGTAAGTTACCCAGATCAATATACATGATGAAAGCCGGAAGTCACAACTGCTGAAAAGTTGTTATCAACAATAAAAATGAGGGCAATAGTCCAAATAAAACTTATTTTATTTGATTAAATTCCCAAACCAATGATCTTTTCCTCCATTTTGTGCACAGGGTTTTAATTTCTAAAAATTTAATTGTATACACAACATTTAGTTGATTTTACTGATAAAATCCTATACTTTTTATTTGTCTGTAAGCTACTTTGCTTTATATAGGGGAAAGAACTGATTGAGGAGTTAATTTTTCTTTGTTACTGTTCAAAATTTAATAAACTGAAAACATTACCTATGTGGTGTTAAAGAAATAAATTATAACAAGACCAAAATTTCACCATCTCTAAAAATAGATGATCAGAATCAACAGGCCCCAAAGCCATATTTCAACCAACCAACCAACCAGAAAGCTTTCACAACCAGAGCCAATGAGAAACAGAGTACCCTTTTTGGAGCTGATGTATAGATGTGTGTATAACCGGATGGAAAGTCAACCAAAATCAGAATTGATACATAAATTTTGTCCATTCCCCAATGCTGCAGTCATCGTAAGATACCCAGAAATAAACAACAACATTTGCACAACTGGTGACTTTAGATATCTAAACTGTCCTACTACATTGAACTTTCTTCACCTTTTTAAGCAGTCTGCTACAATTGAAAACAAACATGCCTTTCTTTACCCACATTGTCAAGCAACAGCTATTATATGTGGATATCTATATATATATATATATATATAGAGAGAGAGAGAGAGAGAAAATAAAATTTGGAAAAGCATCTAATATTTATAGTTATTTATATGTAATACTTATACTACATGTATTTTTACAGAGAAATATTAAAATTGTTTTACTTACATGTGAGTTTTCAAAAAAAATTGTTTTACTTTAACTGGTTTCACTTTTTGTTTTTCAAAAACTTTGTAAATGTTTATATTTTCACATGTTGACACTTATGCTTTGAACATGTGAAAAAAAATCAAGGGATGTAACTGGTTTTATATGTCACTTATGGTAAGGAAGATATGATAGAATCTCTTTTGAGGAACATACCTCTGATTTATGCAATGAATTGAATATTGGTTTAAACTTGCTAATAAAAAAATATTTTTTTATTAATACACTTTTTGTTAAATGGTTTTGTAGTCACATTTGGAGAATGAGAAGATATTAAAATTTGGCAGATTTCATCCACCACATTCCTCTATATGTTGGCTAAAGGGTATTTTTCTGGTGTGATGCCCTGTCATCCTTTGTTGGGATGTATATATATATATATATATATAAATACAATTCATTGTTAATCTTATTTATTAGCATATTTTGGTATTTTTTAGTGGGAACAATTTTTTAGATAAGTAATAATTAAATATTTCATCTTATAAATTTTTGAATCAAGAATGGGCAACACCGGGGCCATGCTGCTAGTACTGATATATGGTGGGAATGGATATTGTCATAAGATAAACAACTCCTCCATAACTGATAGCTTCCATACCTCCATTAGCCATTTATAGGGGAGCATATAAGAATACCTCCATGTGCCATACCTCCATTAGCCATTTATAGGGGAGCATATAAGAAAAAAAATACAAATCTTGAGAGATTCTTTTCTCTTCAAATCCTCAATTACTAAAAAAATGTTCGTTGGATCCTGAAGTGGGAAGGAACAGATTTGTATTTCTATGGCTTGGATATATAGTTATAAGGGAATGGTTTATTCAAGTTCTCACTTACCTACTCATTTATCTCTCGGCTAACCATATACATGCTAGTGATGAGATATTTTACCTGAATACCTGAGCAGAGCTAAAGGAAATCAGGGTTCATGTCTTTCTTGAGAGCATTAGTGTGAAGTTTGTCCAGGCAGATTAACTATATTGCCTGTTTGAATTAATATATGTATATATATATGCAGCATATCTTCATTCAAACATATTTCATTGAATAATATAGACATATTGTGTCTACTTATTATTAAACTGATCCTTTCTAGTTGTTTAATCAGTTTCTTGATACACTATTTACATTATTCAGACTATTGTCCTCATCTTTGTCGCCATATTTATTACAATGTTTCGGCCGTTGTGCGCTCCAGCCTTCTTCAGGTGGTTGGAATGTCGAACTGAGCCCTTTATTTCATTCACTGGGATAGACTGTTCTAGCTCCACATGCCATGTTTAATGGATCTCAGTTATCTCCTGTTAATTCCCCTTTCCAAGTTCTCTGCTGCCTTAACCGGGTATTGAACTCACTCTTTGGGTCCTGTCGCTGGATCTAACTAACACCTTTATCCACTGTGCCATGTGTCCTTGAGGACACCTGAAGAAGGCCGAAGTGTACAATGGCCAAAACATTGTAATAAATATGGTGACGAAGATGAAAGTGGAAAATAGAAAACACACCAACATTTTAATGAAGATGAAGTCTTACATTAAAATAAAAACCTTCTGCCATGAAAGCCTGAACACTTGTAAGGGAGTCATTAGAAGCAGTGAGTTGTCTCTGGCCACACTTGAGGAAATCACATCTGTCTTAGGAATACAGGGGGTAAGTGATTACCATAGAATCAAAATAAAAAGGAAAGAAGAAACCATCACAACAGACACATATATCCTTACTTTTGTCACACCTCAAATCCCTAGAAAAGTCAGATACAATGTTGATACAGTGGAACAATATATTCCTGCTGCACTAAGGTGGTTCAAGTACCAAAAATTTGGGCATCATAGGAATTGCTACAGGAGTCACCCAACATGTGGAAAATGTGGCCAAAGGGATTCTGACCACACAGAAGAAAAATGCCACTATGAAGTAAAATGTGCTAACTGCCAGGAAAACCATCCAGCATACTCACAATCATGCGACTTCTGGTAAAGGAAAAGGAAATAGTCGAGGTGAAACAAGCATGACAAATTATGGAAAGCTACATGAAAGGCCCTTCCTATGCAAAAATAATGCAAATAATGACCACAATGAATACCAGTCAACCTGACAAATACAGAGCCCTCATTAAGAAGCTAATTCAATTGGGATTAAATGACTGGCCCAAATTTCAGAATTACCTGAACATATACTCCAAGACTGAACTACAAAAGAAAGCCAATGAAATAATTGAAATAATAAAGAAAAAACAAATCCAAAATCTACTGCTCAAACACAAACCCCTCCTCCAAAAAACACAAAAATCTCCTAGAAAGCAAAGGTCACATTGATCTCCTATCCAGCCATCAAAGATAGACTTAAGAACTTATCTCCCCAAAAAAACAGAACCAGCCAAACAAAAAACAGAAATTCAGTGACCAAATTCCTATCCGAAACCAATTTGACAAACTGGAAGAAATGGAAAAGCCAGAACTCACAAACGCTCAAAATCTCCAAACTTAAAACCTCAGAAAATTAAATCACAACCACATACTCTGCTAAATCCCAGAAACTGTTAGCAAGCATGTATCAAATAATTCACTGGAACTGCTGTGGAATAAAGTCAAATATAAATGAACTGTCTCTGCTAATAACAGACCTGTCACTAGCAGTTAT